CCCCCCCCCCCCCCACTACCACCACCACTACCGGACCACTCACCGGCCTAAGCACCAACGGGGTCACCAGATGCGCCTCAGTCGCCCGCAGCCCGCAGCCCGCAGCCCGCAGCCCAGCCCAGCAGAACCTGACCCAGACCCCCACCAGTACATCTGCCCGGCCACCGCAACACCCCCTCCAACCTACCGCGTATTCGTAGCTGGTAGTGTGGGACTCAGGAACAGGGTACGTCCCGAGTGCAACCACGTACAACAGTCCGATAGCCGCCAGTGCAGCAAACTGCTCTCCACTGCCGCCGCCGCCGCCGTCACGAAACCCAAGCGACGACAACCGAGCCCGCGACCAGGCCGCTGGCGGCGACGGAAAAGGCAACGCCGCGTCCGCCACCGCCGCCGTCGCCGCCACAGCATCCGGAATTGCCGCCCATACCGCCGCCACTTGCATAAGGCCTATCCGGCGCCACAGCCCCCACACAGCCCCGCCGCCCAGGGCGCCCAGCAGCAGATCTACGGGTGTGTGGACCCCCAGGTACAGCCGCGTCACGGCCACCCAGGTAGCCCAGAAGCCGGCGGCCAACGTCCCCGCGGCGCACTGCGCCGTACTGAGTCCCCCCAGATGGTGCGCCATCGCCGCCGAGTACGCAGGAAGCACCAACGCACACCAGGTGTGCATGGACGGCGCGCCGTACTCGATCTCGCTGCGGTACGCATCTTCGAGTACGGCAACCTCGTGATCCACCGACCTAAGCGCAACGTGATCTCCATGACGGTGATGGTGGTGGTGATGGTGAGGAGAAGTTGTGATTTGGGTCGCCGCCGTTGCCGGATGTCCTTTCGAGCTGTCGGGCTGTGGCGTAATCGCAGCGATGGCGGCGCCGGTGGCGGCCGACGCGGGGAATGCGCCGTCCGCGTAGCCTTGGTCGCCTTCGTCGCCGCCATTGCCAACAGGCGCCGGTGGTTGTATGGAGGTGGCGGCCGTGGCGGCGTGGATAGTAGCAGTGACCGTGGCATGAAGCGGCTGTGGCGACGGCGGCGGCGGCTTAGCGACGGCGCCGCCGCCAGACCGCAGGAACATGTAGGGTCGTGGGCAACTGAGCATGTCTTTGAGGACGCAGGTCATATATGTGGATACGGCCATGCACTGGCAGAGCGCCAGGCAGGCGACGAAACCGGAGGGGCCCCCCAGCCATACCAGAGGGGGCAGTGCAAGCAGGTAGAACTCCACAGAGACGGTCAGGGCCTGGCGGGGTGGCGGGGTGGCGGAGTGGCGGAGTGGCGGGGTGGGGAGTGTCAGGAGTGGGGAAAGACGAACCACGAACGAGTGAAGCTGCTGCCAAGGAAAGAGTGTACAAGAAGCAGGACTGACCAAAAGGCGTCCTTGAAGGAGTGGGGGAAGGTGAGGGGAGGAGGGAGGGTACGGAATGGTAATGGCGCGAGCGGGAATGCTCAGGGGGATGGGAGTGTTGCAATGGCTGCAAGGCAAGTAGAGGCAAGACAAGGACGGGACCGCGATAGTCGGATAGCTGAGCGGGAAAGGTGGGGAGAAGAAGATTTCCGAAAGGGGAGGAGTGTGCCCGGCGGGAATGGAGGGTGGGGGGTAATTGGGGGGCTCTGGGGGAGGGCTTGTGCGGTGACAGCGGGCTGCACCATGTTCGACGTGAGGCTGCATAGGCTTGGCACAGGGAGGCTGTCTTACCGTGGCCTTGCATAGCGTGTCAAACAGAGGATGACGCAGGCGCTTCTGTAATTGCGCGACACCTCGATGCTGCCGGTAAGCTATATCGTAAATCTGTCGCCCAACAGTGCGGCGCACTCTTGGCGTGACAAATTTCGCTATGAGACATACGCCGAGGAGGAATGCACCAGGCAACGTCAACAAATCATCAAGGAGTTGGCTCATAGCTGGGCCGCGCAAAGTGAGAATAAGTCCAGTCACAGCAATCCAGACTCAGAAGGCTGGCATGCTTGCCCTGTGAGATAATCACCGCAGTTTCAAGTCCATATGAAACTCCAGGATAAAAATATCGTATGCAATATCGACGACACAGATCATATCGCATATGCGTGCATTTTATGCTTCACCGAAAAATCAGAGGTAGCCTTTAACTTGTTGAAAAATCATCGTGATAAAGACGAGTCAATATGCCCTGTGATGTGTTGTAGCTTGCCCAATAATCGCATTGCATACGAAATCGAGGCATTACAAGTGCACCGAATTACCAGCAATCTTGCCATGCTGCCAAATAGAATATTCGGTTTATAAACTTATGACGACTTGTGGCATGGCACACGAGAAGGAATTTTTTTCCGGGAAACGACAGAAGCGCAACAGTTCACCGGAACAGGTACCACCCGAACGGAAGCAGTGCATCACGGTGCAGTATCCAGTACAACATTTGTCCGCGGACTGGAGCAGTGCAGAGCACCATCACTGAGTCAATGTCAAGCCCCCTTATGATGTTGGGAGACTAACATTTTGTAGCGACCCATGAGAAATGATAAAACATCTGCTCTGTCTTAATATGCATCAGTCAAGTAATTAAACAGTAGTTGGCGATATCTGGCACTATCAGATATATGGCACTATCAGAGACTTGTCACATGCAGCCGTGCCGTACTAACCCCGGCGACCTCTTCTACCGCTCCTAAACCACGACAGTCGACGTATCATAAGCTGAGCCTCTTGCACAGTCAGCCGGTGGACTATTTTGTTAACCAAAATGCTTCAGGTATCTGCATGCCCACCTATTACGACCCATCAGGCCCCCTGGTGCGTTCAGTTTAATTTAATCGTACACTCAGGTGCGATGCCTCCAACTCGTTCGGTCGCAAGATGAAGTTGCTCTGTCGCTTAGTATGCCCTGTCCTCTCGTCTGCAGGCAGCTATCACTGACCTTACCGCAAGCATAATCGCTGCACCTGTCCCCCGCCTTCCTGCCATTTTCCCGGCAAGCTCGGCACTCCCCAGCTCCTCAGCTTCTGACGTGGCCACACTCCAAGCTGTCCTTGTTACCGTGTTCCACCTGTGTATTGGCCCCCGTCCCTCTCCTGGTATGTCCACCCATCGACGTTACCTGCTCCCCAGGTACCTCCCTCCACCCCTGACACTGCATGTTCGGGCGGCTGCCCGCCTTGCTGAGGAGATCATCGCCCCGGCCTTGGCCCCAAATACCCGCCATCAGCAGCAAGCCACGGGGCGTAAGACCAACTCCTGGTTTGTTCTCCTCGGCATGGACTGGGGTCGTGTTCCCTGACGACCTGGTGGTGTATCTCATGGGTGGGGTGTCTGCCCAACCACCGTCACAAAGGGGTCTGATATCCTGGCCGAGCCCCCCTCCTTCAACACCCTGAAGCATCACCTATTTCTCCTTTGTGTTTTCAGTTGCTGCGTTTGTTCCAGATGTCCCTCTTCTGGACATGCTGTATGGCTAGTCGTTGTCTGATTTAAAGTTGGGTGTGGGCTTTTGGCCGCAGTTAGGCTTCAACATTTCTTAATGTAACAGCATCAACAAACCCCGTCCGAACCCCCTCGTAGTCCGCCCCACCGTCCTAGGCCAAGAAAAGTAAGTTGCAGTCAACATGGAAAGAATTGTGCTACCCTGCAAACTTCGACTGCCAGTCGGCCACTCTCGTGTTGGCCAGCTGCGCCTTATTGGCCAGCTCTGCAGCCTCACGCCGTCGCCGCATGTCGTCATCCGAAATCAAACCCCCCTTGACTCTCGTGCTGCCGCCAGCCTGCGGGACCCCTGCTTGTTCACCGCCCGGCGCGACAGCAAAGCTAGCAACCAAGTACGGCTGATTCTCGGCAGGTGCGTCTCTCTGTAATCCGCTACTACTCTCCTCTATGATGGGGTAAATGCCCTGAGCCATGGTGGCGTTGGATGTCGCTGTCGAGCGCACAGTCGCGGGTGCTGAGGAGGGCGCAGACCTCGGCGCCGAGTGATCACCTGCACGAACCGAGGCAGCATGTGGACGTGACCGGGGGGGCAGGGAGGGGTGAACACTGACACATCAGGGAGCACCGACAAACGAAAAATACACGACCACCATAACTGTGGCTTGCTACGGCGGCCTTAGTGAAAGGTGAATGTGCTGCTGCGGGCCTGAAGACTGAAATCCCTCATATGAGTCAGACCATGTGAGGTTGGCAGCTGGTGGATTTGGCCCATCCGCCCATACCTCTCCACAAGGCCGGGAGGTGAAGCCTGTGGTCTAGAATCGCATTGTGCCCCAGCACCTATCGACATTACGACGACTCCATGCCCACTGCACACCGCTGGTGCCCGGCCGTGAACAACTCCCAACTACTCCAGCCATCCACTGCATAGAAGCAGCAGCAGCAGCAGCAGCAGCAGCAGCATCAATCGCCTACACCAGCGGCGCAGTCCATCCCGGGTCCCATCATGCAGCACACCGCCACGACCGGGATCGCGCCTTCCCTTTCTCCCCACCTCTATGGTGCGTCGGACGTCAGCAGCTGCTTCGTTTACTTATGCACATAAACAGCTCCACCCCTCTCTATTGCACCACAGCCCTCCCTCCTTACCGTGCGAGTAGGCGCCTCCATGTAACGTGGTCCAGGAGGTCCGGTAGTTGGCCCCCAGCCGGTTCCAATCCCAATCCCCGGGCCGCCGCTGCTGATCACGACGAACCGCGCGGGACACCTGCGATGGCGGCGGCGGCGGCACCCCCACGTAGTGCTCGGCGGAGCCGGTGCCCGTCGGCGACCCCGACCTGCTGCCGCCGCCGCTGTACAGCCCGAGCACGCGCTCCGCTGTCGACGGCCGCGTGGTGGTGGAAGCCGCCGGGCCCACCGTCGAGGTTGGCGAGCCGGCGTCATCACCACCGATGGCAACAGCTGTGGAGGAGCTGGGTCCCACTTCCCCTGGGGGTGTTGTCGCTGATGCAGCACCAGCACTTGCGGGCTGCACAATCACCGGCACATGCCAGTCTATCCCATTCTGAATACTGCGGCTGATGCTGAGGGACTTGGCGTGCGGGGCCTTCCCCTCGCGGTCCACAGTACCGAGCTGAGGGAGGAGGGTGTGTACCATTGTGCATAGCGAAAATCCGGGGTCGTATGTTTGGGGAGGGCTGGAACGCAAGGAAAAAACCATCGGACGTACTGATCTAATTGTTCGCTGGAGCTACAACAATGTTTTGCTGGTCGCAACGCCCAGGTCGGCGCGCCACAGCCACAGCCACAGCCACAGCCACAGCCGCAGCCACTAACCCACCCGGCCACAGTCAGCTCCTGCGCTTCCCGGAACGTAAGTGGGAGTGGCCTTTCCATCGTCCCTAGTATAAAACACGTATAAGCGCATTCCGGTCCTGCCCTCAAGAAGGTCGGCCTTTCCCCCTTGAAGCCCCTCCCCATTCCTCCCCTCCCCGCTCCCCCTTCCCCCACGCACCTTATACACGGGGGCGTTCCGCATGACTTTGTCCTTCAGCATAATGCCGTCGTAGTCACCCGGGCCCAGCCCCGAATCCCCTTGGGCCCGCAGCAGCGCCGCAATCTCCCTGGAGCGGGTGGTCATACCGTCCGGCACCTGGTCCAGGAAGAACGGCCCGTCCAGGTGCTGGTCGTGCGGCCGGCGGAAGCGTCGGTGGTGCTTGGTGTCACGGGGCTGTGGGACAGCGAGGGCGGGGAGGAGGCGGAATGAGGGTTATAGGGACTTTTGGGAAACGTGGTTTGAGGGACAACACATTGCCAGGCCATGGGTGAAGGGGGGCAGCTGGCCAATATAAGTACAAGTTCCGCACAAGTTCAAGGGGGGCCATAAAAACCGGGGGCCTCAAGGGCAGCAGCTGCCTGTCTGGTAGCGGACTATTACCGTTGGGGACCAGCAGGGGTGGAATGGATTTGTACGACGTGTGTGGTGAGCCCTTGAACACACGCACACACATACATACACACAACCACATGCACACACATACACGCGAGCGCGCGCGCGGATATGTCCACCGCCCTCCGCCAGGCTGGTCCTGCCACACAGCTGAACCCACGCGGGACCACCAACTCAGCCATCCGCGAGTTGCCCAGAGTGCCCATCCACCCTGCCCAGGAGCCCCCTACCCACCTCGTATGCGCCCGGCCCGGGCTCCGGCACCACTCTCCGGCGCTGCAGGGCCAGCAGCTCCTGGAGGCGCACCTCGTTGGGACATATGGGTGCCAGGGAGGCCAGGCCGGTACCGTGTCGTGGTGGGCCCGACGGCGGCACCAGGCTGGACGTTCCGTACACTGACGGCGCCGTACCGCGACTCGGTTTGATGAAGTCGTCAATACCCACCCAACCCTACAGCAGACAATAAGGCGGCAGAGCTTTTTATTATTCCAATCCTGCAGTTGGCGGGTTAATGGGTTTGTTGAGCTATAGGGCGACGTAGGTTCTGCGTTCTACGAAAGAATGGCATTTGGGCATTTGGCGGAAGGTGGAAGTGGCTCCCCGTGAGTTTGGCGTGCTGTCAGATGGCTAACCCCTCGACAGTTATCTACTGTTATTACCTTGGCCGTCCAGCGGGGCGGCTGGGTGACATCGCGATAGGCCACGTGGTAATCAGGTATGTCTTTGCGTATCTGCATCGGCGAGGGCACAAGGGGATTCTGAGGGGTACTGCGTGGATGCAACACTGCAGGATATCCGCTTAGGACGCGACCAACAGTCATAGGGAAGCCGTTTTCCTACCTTGAGTTAAAGGTTATTTTTGAGATAGCAGAGGTATGAGCATTGGATGTAGAAGAAAATCGGCGTACCTCGGAGGCGAAGCGTGGAGATGCGACACCAAAAGGAGGTGGTTCGGCGACCCATGTCCGACCCGGCGAATGCCTGGAGGGTGTTCAATGCATCTCAACCTTGACCGGTCTTATCTGGTAGTTCCCGGAAGGAATGCAACTTTTTGGCGAACTTGGTAATTACCGTGGGCCAGCCTCTCCACCTTGCTGGTGCATTGCAAACTGCAATTATGAAACCGTTGTCAATTTCTAAAAATATATGTGGAAGAACTTTGTGAGCCGGTAGCTGTCCTCAAGAACTTCGTGCCGTGTGGCGTGCTCCAAGCTTGAGCTTTTGGTAACAAATTTGCAACATTCCAACAGTAACAAGATTGCCTTAACAAGAATAAAAAGCTGAAGTGAATTTAGGAGCTCGAGTTTTGTATCATATAAAACAATATTTCACTAATCAGGAAAGTTATCGCGAATTCAGTAAGCAGAGATATACAAAAATCTCACTTAAACCGCTTCCGTTCAATAGAAAACAGTTGCAATCATTCGGCAAACACATTCATTTCAATACGGTGTCGTCCATGGCCGTACATAAAATCTCTGACGCACAGCTAAAAGTAGACCAGATGCCCTCCGAACGTACGCCAAATCTTATGGGCTCTCACCACAAGCCAAGTCAACCTTCCTGCGTTCTTAAGCCGCATCGCCTGCTCCTACATCTTCCTGTCTGACGACATTCCGCGCACCCCGCACCACTCGTGGTACTAAAAGCTTTCCTTCCACCTTCTCACTCTCTGGCCCGCCTGCGTGTGTCCCGACAGCACCATCAACTCCCGCCGCCACATCACCCAGGCCATGATCCTCTGCTCTCCCAGACACCTCCCCTCCCGCTAGTTCGCACCTCCCACTCCCGCCCAACCCCTGCCCGCCCTGAACCGAGCCAGCGCCAGCGTGCGACGTCTGTCCCGCCAACTCCTCCTCTTCTCCCAACGGCGGCGGTCCGGCAGCCGCCGCCCTGGCTGCTGGTGCCATAGCCACAGCACCGGGCTGTCTCACGCCATGTAATCGCGCCCTCAGCTCCGGCGGCAGCGGCCGGAAGGCAGGGGGTGGCGGCGGGCCCGGGTGCAGCGGCGTCCTGTTGGCCGGCGGATACGGCCCCCTGGACCCCCCGGAGTTGCCCGAAGTAGCTGCCAGCACCAGCTGCCCGCTGGGAGCTGGGCACGCATGATCAGAGCGCTGATGCAGCAGCCGCTGCGACGGCTGCTGCTGTAGCGAGGCAGCACCGCTGGGCCCCGCCGCCAGCTCCGGCTGCTGCTGCTGCAGCCGCAGCAGCAGCTCCTGCTCCTGTTGCCGCTGTTGCGCCAGCATAGCCGCGCGAATCTGTGGATGCCCCGAAAGGTGGCGGATCAGGTGCGTTCAGTTCCGGTTAGCTCAGGTAGCAGGGGTAAGAACAAGACAATAGGAACACCAGCTACAGTTACAGCCGAACAGGAAAATGGAGAGCAGGTGCAAAGCGAAAGGGGTGGAGGCTGCAGTGCCGTACTAGTGCTGTGCCGCAAAATCACTAATCCCACCACTACCCCCACCACGCCCCACAGCACAGGAAGACACCCTCGGCGCCGTGGAACTTCAATGCCCTGGAATCAATATCGCCCGCAACTGAACTACCGCCCGCAGCGTCGCTCGCGACGGCAGCTGGGCCAGGCGCCCATTCACCTGCTGTCGAACAATCAAATCCATTTTCTCTAACTTGCCCAGCGGCCGCCGCTGCGCCTGCCGCCGCCCTGTTCCCCCAGCAACTCCTTGACCAGGCCGTCCGGCGCCGCCGCCGCCGCCGCCGTTGCTACCGGCTCCGAGGCTGCCGCTACCCCCGGTGGCGCCTGCCGGTCCCCCGTGAAGCATCTGGTGCGCGGTGCGATAGCTCCGCTGTCGCGAGTGGTACTGTTGGGCCGCTCGCTTGGCTAGGCTAGTCCGGTGTGGCCGTGGCAGCGAGGACCGCAGCATTGCCGGGAGCATACTCTGCACGTACGGACAGACAGACAGACAAGCGTACGCACACGCGTACACGTGTAAGCATGCATGTTGACAGACATGTATGCGGATGCCTGGCTTGTGCACACGAACGGCTCGGGTCTAGTGAACACGAGCACAAGCATGACGCAGAGATAGGAGGAGAGGGAGGGAGGGGACGCGAAAGGGCACTGATTCGAGGGCAGGTGCGTGCCCCTCCTCCCCCTCCTTTCCCTCCAGCTCGCGTCACGCGCAAAACCCCACCACCACCACCACCACCACCACCACCACCACGACGGTGGTAGGATGATGCGAGGTGCAACCCGAGTACAAGGTTATCAGCCAGTCAGCCAACCAACCCACCGCGTGCTGCACTTTGGAAAGCAATTCCTCCGCGTGCTCGTCCATGTCATACTCATCGTCCTCATCGTCATCGTCGTCATCATAATCGCCGTTGCGCCTGGCCAGCTGCCTGTCGCCGCCCCGCTGCGCCGCCGCCGCCGCTGACGATGACGACGAAGATGCCGTCTTCCTGCCGTCGCCTCCGAATAACCTCCTGGTTACCAAGGACCACACCCGGTGCGCCAAGGCGGCCGTAACCAGTACGTTCATCAGCGGGATACGGCCCAAGAGCTCCATAGGGCCCTGCAGAAAGCCGCCCAGGGGGCCGCCGCCGGAGCCACCGGCTTTGACGCCACGGCCAAAGGGGGCGCCGCCTAGGGCGGTGCTGCGGCCCCGCGGCGGCCGCTTGCCGCTCTTGGCATTGCGACGGGCCGGGTTGGACTTACGGAAGGCTATGACCGGGTCCAGGGTCTCAGCTCGGCGACCCCTGGGCGAAAAGCGGAAAGCAGTAGGTTTCGGAACCATGGGAGGGGTGTACAAGGGGCTTTTAAGGATTGGGCGGGTGTAGAAGAAAGAGCCAAGGGGCTGAGCTTGAGGGAGTAAATGTTAAATCGCCGTGAGCTGCACATCATATGCGTGGCACCGACGTGATAACGCCACTTACAAAATGCGCAGCGTCCCATCGGGCCCCAGGATGTGCGTGTCGGGCGGCACGTACTCCTGCCGGATTGCCTTAGAAAGTCCTGCTGCCGCGCGGAGCGAGTGCCGCGTAGCATTATCTTCCATCCTTGTATACTATTGCGAAAGGAACCTCCGCGCACTGTGGACTTCGGCTTCCCGGCGCACGATGTGTGTGTTTCGGACACGTTACGCCGAAAGTGCAAAATAGGTTGCCAACAACACTTTATTTGGTGTAGAGAGCGTAGAAATTTAGATATAATTGTGTCGCTAGGTTGGAGCTATCACAGCTACCTCGCGAAGTTGGACGCCCGAGCTCCGCCGCCGACGTTCCCATTGGAACACATAATTGCAAGTCCTACAAAGCTACCAAACCAAATCAGGTCTATCTGAGAGCTGTACATAACTGTTCATAACTCCAACATGTTAGTAGTAATGATATAAAAATTCTAGTACACTTAGTACGGCATATAAACAGCTCAAATATTTCGATTCCGAGAGTCCTTAATCCTCTAAGTGACGTTTGATTAACACTACGTAATCGGCTTTCCTGAACGATTTTCTTAATTCATTATGATGCGAGATGAAGCCCCACCAGCGTTCCAAGGTCGAGGTGCGGGTGCCCCGTGCCAGTTACCTAGCCGTCCTGCTCGCCTTCGCCGAAGGCGCAGGCGGCTGCCTCCTCGTGAGGAGACCACACTGGTGTGCCTGATCAAAAGCCTTGTAGAGAGGAAGGTGGTCGTGGAGCTCCGGAATGATATCCTCCTGCGCGGCCGCCTTGACGACGTCGACGACTTCCTCAAGTGTGTGTATGTGCACCGAAATAGACACACAATCCATTGAATTTCCCACCCGTGTAGGGTGACCCGCAACAACCCGACGGGGGCCCACCTCGCATACTACACACCAATGCAGGCACGACAAGCTTCCACAGCACTCCCGCCGTGTGTTTTCCCCTCTCCTAACCACCCACCGGCACCCCACCAACACTCCCCCCCTTGAATCCTTTTCTACGCGCCGCAGCATGTCCCTTTCCGAGGTGACCTTCCAGACGGTTGATGTGGGTGCAAGGGGCTTTATGGCAGGGGCTTATTGCCGTACCGGGGGCCCGAGCGTGCCAGCCGTGCAGTGTGGTTGTGTGGCTGGGCGGGGCAGAGGGCTGGTGGGTAGATACGAGGGAGGCGACGGCTCGTGTCGGTGCCGGTGACCCCCAGTGTCGCGTCCCGCCTCTAGAGGGGGATAATCGGGAGAGCACGTAGGGAACTTCTGGCGGGGGCAGTGGAGCCAGCCAACAGCGTGACATGTGTGACTCTGTGGCGGGGTAGCGGGACCGGGAAACCGCCAGTACGGTGCCCGTACGTCCCTCCGTTGATACTGACACCTTGCATACCTGTGTGAGCCATGCTGCATCAGCGACAGCACCAGCAGTTGCAACAGTAGCCAGCAGCAGTTTTTACAATTTGTGTTGGTATGGGTGTGTTGGTGTGTTGGTCCTCGCTCCCCTGCTGCTGGTCCAGGTATGTGTTTGACGCTCGCTCAAGCTGCCCAAGCCAGCTGATGTCTCGTTCTGTTTTCGCGTCTCCCCGGTGGGGTCGGTGGGATCCTGACCTGCTACTCCTTCCGCGTACCCAGTTCCCTCTCCCAGGCGCTACCTCTCCCCCCCCTCCGCGCTGTTCTTGTACTGTCCCCCCCGTGCTCCCCCCTCCGACTCCTTCACGCACCCACCGTCCTTAGGGCTACAAGACCGAGTACGAGAGCATATTCGTCAAGGTGAGTGGGATGTGCGGGGCCCCCCCTCACACAAGCTGCCCGGGTCTAACTGTCCAAGTCTCATCATACCACCCAACCTGAGTCCCTACTATCTGGTCATGGAGCTATCAATCCGCCTCTTCACAACCGCAGAAATCCCGAGTTCTCTTCGCTTCTCGCAACCTGTCACCCTCACTCTTCCCCCTTTCGCAAACGCACACGCACCTTGTTTGTCGTACAGGGCCGCAACGTGCGCTTCGTGCACCTGCCAAGGAGCCTCGACCCCGCCAAGGCCATTGAGGCGTACGTGAGTGCCGTACACATATAGGCGTGACGCTGTACTGTACCGTACCGCATCGCATTCCGCGTCTCTACCGTATCGACGATAGTGACCGGTCGTCTTTGAAGGGGGGAAAACGTAGGCGAGGCCCGCGGGGTACAAAAGCCGTCCGAAACCACCCACGCTCGTTGCATGACACGCCGGGGGAACGGAGGGCACAAGAGCGCATCATGCAATTCGATCTGCTCCCGGCATACCAGCCGTATTATCATTCCGGGGTATGGTCCGAGCGGATCTGGGGATGGATGAATGCAGACTTGCATGTTGCGTGTCCTTGCGTGCCGCTGCACCTGCGCCCCTTCCCTTTCGCTTTGCATTTTACTTTCCCGTGTGTTGTTGTTATTGTTGTTGTTGTTATGGCTCCCCGCCTCTTTTTACCACGCTTTCCATCTCCTGCACGGCTACTTCAGCGTCACAAGGTGATTCGTGCAAAACTGGAAGCGGCCCGGGAGAGGGCCCGAGCGCTGGGGTCAGCTAAGTCCACTCCCAAGGGGCAGGATGCTCTGGTTCCGGAGGCCATGGCGGCAGACGTGTCGGAGTCAGCTGCGGCCGCAGCGGATGAGGCGATGGAGTTGGCGGGTGAGGACGACGACGAGGGACACGAGGGTGGTGGAGGAGAGGGTGACGAGGACGAGGAGGAGGGGGAGGATGAGGAGGCAGGGGAGGAGGATTGGGAGCAGCAGGAGGAGGAGGAGAGTGGGGGGCCAGGTGCGGAGCTGCGACGCTTGGACCCCCGGGCTGCAGCCCGAGGGGCAGCTGGCGGGGAGATGATGGCGGGGACGGACGACGAGGCGGAGTGTGCACGGGGGCTTCTAGGGTAGTTGACTGCAAGAGGCGGCGGTTGTAGCGGTTGGTTATAATAGCTTGACCAGAGCACAGCCGCAACTGACACCCAGCCGCGATTGCAAGGGAGGCCACGTGATGGCTGTATGTACTCTTCTACAGCTGAGCGTGGCAACCCACTGCGCCCATGAGCACTGCCACGCCAGCAACCCCCCGCCTGCCTGAGTTCAACGTGTACGTGACGGGTGTGTGTACACGCTCCGCTGCTACAGCAGCAGCAGCTGGCGCTGTGCTGCAGGCGGGTACGTGGCTCTATCTAGCGGGCGGTGGCGGGGGTTGCCGTCAAGGTGGATTACCGGCCGACTTGATACCGGCGTACCGTGCAGCGGGATGACCTTGGGTTGGCAATGGTGGCCAAGGGAATCCCGACCGCCACGTTTAATATGCGCGTATGTATATAAGTATATGTGATTGGGTAGGGGATATGTGATTGGAGCCGTCAAGGATTACACTTGACAGCTCTCAGCCCGCATGTCCCACACACCTAACTTGCTACACCACCAACTTGCTACGTTGTGCCTCTGTCACATTATCAACCCAACGCCAAACACAAAACGGGCCCCCGGACCAGCCACAACGGCAGCCTAAACGCAGGTCAGCAGCAGCTGCGTAGCCGCCCCAATCTGCCAACCGGCTGTCGCCCAACTTGCCAGCCAGCCCATGAATAGCCTATTACGGTGCGGCGAGCGTTTAAACCACTACTAGCCACACCACGGCTTCAAACAGAAATGGCGACACACACACAAATGCTGCGACAGCCCACGTCAACCTCCCAAAAAATCCACTCCGCCACACCTCACTTTCCTGGCAACAGCACGTCAGCGTGGAAATTGATATGGTCATCAACAAACGTGGAAATGAAGAAGTACGAATGGTCGTACCCCTCCTGCGTCCGCATGGTGGCGGGGCTGTAGCCGGTTTCCTGGATGGCTGCCTCCAGGGCCTGGGGCTGTAGCTGCACCTGCAGGAACTTGTCCGCTGAGCCCGTGTCGACCAGGATGGGGGGCCTTACGGGGCCGCTGAAGGACCGCAACAGCTCACATGCGTCGTACTGCTTCCACAGCTCCCTGTCCTCACCCAGATAGCCTTTTAGGAGGTGGGGGAAGCAGTGGGGGCAGTCAGGAGCGGGGAAGGAGGGCCCGGTGGATAGCAGAGGGAGCTGGCAGGGATGAGTTATGGAAAGAGTCTGACGGTGATGATAATGTTGAGTATTGAGTATGAACATGAGTATGAGCATGATGATGAGCATGATGATGACGACGATGGGCAGTTCGGGAGTGGATCTTGTGGATGGTGGTGTGGGGAAGGGTACTAGAGGTGGAGTACACACGTGCGGGAGCTGCAGGTGCGCCGGGGGCTAGGCGGAAGGGGGAACTGGTATGCAAGCATCCAACGGGGGATGGGGATTCTGCCTTCCACGCGGGGAGGGAGAGGCTGCCCCCTGCAACCTCACCCGTGAAGGCCTTCACCCCCCAGGGGCAGTTGATGGGGTGGCACACAGGCGCGAAGGCGCTGATGGAGCGGTACGTCTGCGGAGGGGCACGGTGGGGAGGCGGAAGAGGGCGGAGAGGTGCGGAACGGGCGGGGCAGGCGGCAGGCGGGGTTGCCAGAGCATGTAGGGCCCGTGTCGGACGGCGGGGAGGGACCCGGGGGGCCGGAGAGAAGCAGCATACACAGCCGCTACGGTTCCCAGCTACGGTTCAATGTCTGTGACCCGTCAGCCAGCCAGCCAGGGAGGGACAGACAGATAGACAGACAGATAGACGTAGCCAACGATTTGCACCCGTTTGAACCATAGCCCTCAACTCGTTCTTTTCCTCCTCTCTCCGCCTGCTAGGAGACGCGTGGCGTGCTCAGCAACCCGGCATTGGGTGCCCACCCCTCTCTCCTTCCCCACCTCCCCCCAAGACACGTACCTGCGGGTTCCGCAACCCCACCACCAGTGCCCCGTGACCCCCCATGGAGTGGCCGAACACTGACGCCTGATCCACGTCCAGACTGGTGGCGAAGGGGGCGGTGGAGCGGAGCAGCGAGGGAAGCTCCTGCGGCAGCGAGCAGGGGGCGGCGGGTTTGGGTGTGCGGGCAGGTGGATACAGCTGGGTGGCAGAGGGGGGAAGAGGGAGCGGGGTCCCATGCGAGTGCGGTTCACGTGGAGCCACCAAAACCCCATCACGGCAAGACCAGATCGCACGAAGGCGGCCGGGATGCGCCGTGTCGCGTAACGTGCGACGCGGAAGGTGAGGTTTAACGGTATGTAACGCGTTGAGAGACCGGGCTTGGCCGCCAATGTGGCGCTTACGAGGTTCTCAGCTCGACAGATTATTGGTACTTCTACTTCTCCGGGGGCACCAGCATCAGGATGTGGGATAATGAAGCTGGAGAGCGCCCTGAGTGTGTGGGGATTCCTGTTTGTTGCCAAGATGTGCCCCAGGGCCTACCCTGGCAGCTCCCCGTAGAAGCCCCGGACTGGTCGGCAGCCACCCCCAGCCCAACGCCCACACCGGAAATTACCCCCTCCTCCAGCCCCGCAGCCACCCGACATTGCCCCCGCACACGCAACTACTACCTCTCCCTGAGTTGTTACCCGGTGGGGTAGCACTGGCTCCACAACCCCCTTCCCCCGGCCTGCCGCTCCCTCCCCGCCTGCTCCTACACCCCGTTAAAAACCGTCTAGCCCCAAGGCGCACCTCCACCACGTAGTCGTACATGCGCCACGCACGCCACTTCTCCTGTGGGTGCAGGTGCGGGTGGGGGTGCGGGTGAGGGCGAAGCGCTAGTCGGGTCGGAAAAGCCCATGTGTATATACACGCTCGGAAACAACTTTCGGCTGGCCCTTGGGCCCTCCAAGGCACCCCAGGTTACACCTTCGGAGAGTAACGCGCAACTCCGGAAGTTGTAACACACGCACACACAGACACACACAGACACACACATACACGCACACACACGCACACACACGCACACACACGCACACACACGCACACAGACGCACGCACGCACACACATGCATAGACCCCATGTTACCTCTTAAGTGTAGGGATAGGGACAAACTCTGCTGTCCCCATCCCCTCTGTCGCCGCCTGTCTTAAGATACATCCCCCCGGCGATCCCACCACGGGCCCCTTGCATTGTTCCGTGGCCGCTTCACCCCACTACCCAGCCGGCCTCTGCCCCATCCCCCTCACCCGCATACACGACCAACAACGCACACAGCCAACTTCACATTAGAGACAGCGCCCCAAGTCACCCCACCTGCGTGGAGTTGAGGTAGAAGCCCGCGCCCACTCCGAAATCCCAAGAGTCCGCCTCGCCCTCCACTCCTAGTCCCCGGGGGGACGTGTCTGGGGCCACCAGGGCAATACCCCGTGTCGCCGCTGCACGCTGGGCGCCTAAGGGGGACGAGGGGGTGAAGCGAGGGGCATACACCGCGGAATTGGACGCGATGAAATGTGGGGAAGTGCTGGGAGGCCTTTGGAGATTGCGAGTTAAGAAGAAGTGGGGATGAGGGGGATAGAGGGACGCCGTGAGCTAAGTGACGTGGGCAGGGAATGGGCTTTAGTGGAGCTGGCGTCGGCGAATAATAGGGCATTATGCGATTAATGCAGGGCGCATAGGACTCGCATTGTGTGCTGCCAAGCCCCCCTACCGTTATCGCCAAGCACGATCCCAGAATAGCCATGCCCAGGAGAGGACGGGAGCCATGTTGGCAGGCGCGAAGTGAGGCACGACTTATATATGGCCCAACCCTACTCCCTTCTTGGATTCACCCTTGTACTTGAATGCCGAATTATCATGGAATGGCAGTTGTAAACAGTTTGCGCACCTGACTTCTGGATGAAGTTCTCATCGTTGCATGTAAGCCCCGACAGGTAGTACAAGACAGGCACCTTGCCCGTTTCCGCAGCAGGTGGGAAATAAACTGTAAACGTCATATCGCATCCGAGCACGGTGCTGCGGTGCTTGTATCGACGGTTGTAGCCATTGTAGTGACGGTTGGCGCTGATCTCCTCCACAGCAGTGGCCATGACTGCTTGTTCGCTTGCTGCTGGCCAAATGGTTGGCCGTGCAAAATTGCGTTTCGCAGCGAGGTACTTATGTTGTTCGCAAGCCCGCGCGTGTGATGCCACCCAACGATGGGTCCGGAGCATACCCGGCAAAGTAGCTACGCTCCTACAAATCGACACTTTATATATAATGGTTTACAACAAAAAAAGAGAAGAATGAAGGTGCCTAGTACACAGCTAGCATTTTAGGGGCCCATCGAGCCAAAGCTCCATGAGGCTGATCTCCCTAGCTTATCTCTCCCATTATTTCACCCCGGACCTAATCAGCGCGTCCGAGGAGAATGTACACAATGTTCCCTTTCCGCTAGAGATTTCCAGACAAAGGACACCACCTTAAGTTTAAACCCTACCGTACCCAAACAGCCAAGCCATGGGTTGACGTCCGACCGAGCGCCAAGCAGCAAATAGGCCACAGCAACCATCATTTACCCGATTAACACGTGCGGGTTCTGCTCTTGACTTGTTGCGCCTGGCAGGGTAATAACTTGGGGACATGCTCGCGGCCAACACAGCTCTGCAGCACCTCTTTTGATCTGCACGCGGAAAGCCTCGGCGCATGAAATCTCTATATCTGGCCCCCGTGTTGTAACTCACTTGACCCACAGCCATAAGTCCTCGCATCCTAAAATCAGCTCACTTTCCCAAAGCTCATCGCCAGCGAGAGCCGAATTGCGCTGCTACAGTGAGCCCATCGGAGTCCAGGGGGGGCTACTGCCACATGGTCCCACCCAGGAAGTAGTTGTGTACATCCTCATAGAAGAGACCAGCATGAGCTTGCGTTGACTGCTGGTGCTCCCGTCGGCCACGTAAGCAGATCCGTGCAAAGGCAGTAGAAGAGCAAGGTGCACCTGCACGCGGTCCACAAACCGGATTGCCCCCACTCCGCAAGTTACGTGTGACACGCGCTTACGGGTATTTCTGCTGCTGCAGCGGCTGCTGAAACTACCGCTGCTGCTGCCGCGACAACGTTGTTCCACGTTTACGTCCGGTCCATGTGTGCACGTGCCGTACCACGCCACGAAACGGCACATAGCATCACGTTTTTATGAGAGAATGAAGCCATCGTCACTCGCAAGGACGATCGGCATACATCATGCTTGCATGCGCAGCATAGATGCAAGAGGATCACCTTCCCCGGGGCGGTGCCCTCTGGGGGCTCCTGTTCCCAGTGAACAGGGCGACCAGGAGGGAGCACAGCACAGTGGCCGACAGGGCCCTGACTTCCCAAAGACCGGATTTGGCGGGAGTCAGCCTTTTGGGACCCCTCGGGTCGCTAATGGGTTAAGGCGGCCTGCTGCTGAACGGCACCCATAGCTTCGTTTATAAAAAGGCGCCATAAGGCGCAGTGCTAAGGGCGCAAGCATTAATGTAACACGAACTGTCGTTCTGGACAGCTGCACCGTGGACCTAGTCTCCAGTAGAAAGCGGGCAACTTGGGAACGCGGTTGCATTTTTGTGAGGGATAATGCAACGGCGCATTTTCGCAGGAGAAACAGAAATGTTAGCTGCTTGAAAGCTTGCACATTCTTACAGCGCGTAATGGAAGGAATCCAGAAGGCAGGACATGTGAGGATGCTTCACTGTTTACTAGCAGTCGATGGCCCATGGGTCGCAGGATGCGCAGGCGCCAAATGGCGCCAGAAAAAGGATCGTCTGACAGCGATTCATCGCCAATGTCCCCAAGGCTTAATCAAAATGCTCTGACGCCTTGGGAGACGCAGGATTGCCACACAAGAAGGATCGCTCACTAGGGATTTGGCAGACTGAATTCTTTGCCAACAGATACATGACTACAAGGATTACACTTCACTTATATGTTTCATTTTGGGCAGGCGGTTAGCCTTTGGGGTATTTGGGATCACCAGGTCCTTGCTTAATTCTTGCCTAACTAACGGTGTTCAACGTGTCTAAGCGGACCTGGACGCGCCAGCATTTAACATAAAGGGGTTTACTGCGATCAGTTTGTAGATGAATTCGAGTGCAGTCTAAAAGAGCCAAAGTTGTGTAGGCGCCCGCCGTTGCCGGACTAGCCGGGAATAAGTAAGAACCGCTACGCACAAGGTATTTCTCTATAACATACTACCAAACCAGCAATCAGTCTTTGCTCGAATAGACACATGCCCTACGTACCCCCGCACTTGCGCGGCAAGCAGCAGGACGCTGCTTCCCCATCTGAGTCCTCTTCCACAGCTGCTCGTGCTCCTGAAGGCTCCTCTGGCTTTCCTCGTTCCGGTAGTTATGGAACTCGTCTAGACAATGTTTCGTATGGCGGAAGGGGAGAGGGAGGATTTTCGCGTCAGGGCTCGTCCGGACTTCCCCGCAGTGGAAGCACGCAAAATTTCGGTGATGCTAGCAGAGGATACCATCGCAGTGGACCAGCTGTGGAGGCCGTGTTCGCCAACTGGCAACCTACAAGCCGTGTTCAGGCGTTGAGCGATGAGAATATTCAAGAAATTCGGCAGCGTCTCAAGGTCACAGTCGATGTTACCGAAGGCGAGCCCAAGGCAGCACCGCCAATTGAGTCGTTTCAGGAAATGGTGAGGGTTCCAGGAGCCGTCTCGGGGGCTTAAGCCGTAGCGGTTGTTTCCGGCGCCAGCAGATCAGCGCCAGACGGCTTGCAATCTATGCATTTTATGCGCCCTGGCGCTTTGGCAGCTTGTTGATGTCAAAATTCCGTGCATAGACGGCGGCATGGTCTGAAATTTGGCTTTCCGATGGCGCCTCGTTTGTGCCGCAACTCGCAGAATCTTCACCCTAACATTTTGGCGGACATTGCCCATCACAAGTACGAGACGCCCACGCCAATCCAGGCACAGGGCCTTCCGATCGCTCTGTCGGGACGCGACATTTTGGGCTGCGCTGAGACCGGAAGCGGCAAGACCGCATCCTTCTCAATCCCAATGATTCAGCACTGTCTTAATCAGCCTCCTCTGAGGCCGGGTGACGGGCCTATGGCGCTGGTGCTGGCACCAACCCGTGAGCTGGCGCAGCAAATTGAACGCGAGGTGCGCCCCACTTGCCACTGCACGCCGCCGCCACAGCTGCTGGGGAGTCTCTGCGAGTCTGGTGCCTGGCACAGGCTGCGGATGTTGAGGGGTTGCAGTGGGGACTCGGTTCCTAGGTTCACTCTGTCGAGATCTTGTCGAGTGGCAGTTAAGACTTGACCCTAAATGCTGTCAGCCTGCTACCGCGTTAATTATATCAGCTACCATGCATCTTTGCATGCGGCCTCATGGTATGCTTGGATCATGCGCTGGTCCTGCGCGTGCGACCTAGGTGCTAGCCCAGCCAGCCAGCCAGCGGCGTGGCCTGGTGGGGTGTGTCTAAGGCATGGAGGAAAGGGGCAGGGGTATGCGTGTATTTGGGTTTACATTGCCACGGCCACGACGCATGCGGCATGTCGTTACTGCTGGTGCACGGATGGCTGCACAGCGGCCCACACGCCACTGCTGATTACTGCACCTGCGACCTCCCGTTGTGTGGGTAAGGTCGGAGTGGACTCGAACTGCATCTGAGAATTTGGCCCATATCGATAAGGGGGACAGCACGGATCCATCTGTAGTGTGCACCGTCCCGGTGCCAGGTGACATTGGTACGGATCGATTTCTTTTGTCGGCGGGGAATTTGAATGTCATATGGTGCCGGCGTGACCGGCTGAATCCACACTACCCCCAGGCTAGAGGGAGGCGGATCCATATCATTATATACCCCCCCAACCACACACACACACAGGCACACACACACACGCAACCTGGATAGTTTTTTTACTGGGTGTGCAGTGACAGTGCAGTATGCATCCGTTTTCTTTGCTAGTGCTGCCCTTCTCACAGCTGCAGTGGACCCCTATGTCGCAATGGTGACCCATATCGCCAATTGTAGGCCCCCCGTGCCGGCTCCCATTTCGCCGGGCCCTCTCAGCGTGCTCGGGCCCATGCGCGCCCCGTTTGCCTCGTCCTTACTTCCTTCCCCCCCTTGCGGTACCCATGGTGGTGCATGGCGCTCTTGATAGGTCCGTGCCTTCAGCCGCAGCAGCAGCCGCAATGTGCGCACGTCAATTGTGGTGGGTGGCGTGCCCATGCAAGAGCAGCGCCACGACTTGCGCAACGGAGTGGAGGTGGTAGTGGCTACACCCGGCCGCTTCATCGACCTCCTACAGCAGTCCTACACCAATCTCAGCAGGGTATCGTACGTCGTACTCGACGAGGCGGACCGCATGTTGGATATGGGTTTCGAGCCGCAGGTGCGACACCGGGGCGGGGTTTCTAATTTATGAGTTGGGTTAGGTTAGGAAAGACCGATACCGGGGCCGGGGGCTTGAGGGTGGCTGGGTGTGCGTGCGAGTGCTGTAGTGTTGCGTTGGGGGGGTTGAGCGGTTCGCGGCGGTGATGGTCCGGCGAACTAAATTATTTGGTATCGCGTGCAGCGGGGGGATTGGCCAGACCGCGGTCATTCTGGTGGGATGATGCCTAATGCGATGGCACCGAGTAGTAGGGACGCAAAGGCAAGTAGGTAAAGTACGGGCGGGTGAAGCGCGCCCCCTCAATCCTGAGGGGTCGCCGGCGTACGCGGCAGATGCACCTGGGAGCTGATTACATGGACCAGCCATTTCCTGCTTGTCACTTGCATGTACAGTTGCACGGCTAGCCGGCATCTGTCGACAACGTTGTTAGCATTTGCATGCTCCTGGTGCTGCCCATTGACGGGGCCCCGTGATGCTTCCCCCGTGGTGCGACAAGCATAATGCAGTAGCAGGGTTTACTTTCGACACCTGCGAAATGCATGTCGTGCAGCCAAGAGATCACCAGTTACAATGTCCCAATGCCGCCCCCCTATGGGTTACTCAAGCGGCATGGCGACCCCGAGCCCCACAACCTCTCATCGGGGTCTTTCCAACCCCTAGGGTTAGCGGTCCTTGTTCGGGACTCGGTGCCTTCTTATAAACGAGCCCACTGCACCAGCTGCCGTCATGCACTGCAGCGAGCAGGTGAAAGGCGGCGTGCAGGCCATGCAGGCACCTCACGCACGCGGCTGTATATCCTCTTCCGTGAAAGGACAGGACGACAGGGCGATGTCACCCCCCTATGTCACCTACCTTCATCCCGCGCCAGCCAACGCTTGCTGTCCCTTGGCCTTCCGTCGCCTCATCCTATCCCATCCATCTCCACGTTCCTGTTACAGATTAAGGAGGTGATGAACAACCTGCCGCCCCGTCACCAAACGTTGCTTTTCAGCGCGACCATGCCCAAGGTGCGATGGTTGGGGTGCGGGCTGGGGTGCATGAAGCGCTACATCACCGTCGCAGCGCAGGCAGAAACCCACGTGTGGAATGCGCTAAGTCTGTCTCGATGTTCAACCTGTATCACCTGGGAATACACGGGGTTGCGGGTACGGGGCTCTCAAGAGCTCTTGTCCTGGAGCCCCAACTCCCCCACTACGACACCATCCGTCTGCTGCCGGTTGCGGCTGGACAATGACGCAACGCCTAGCAGTTAATGCCTGCCAGGGGCAGCAGTTCAGGACCAGCGCACTCAAAAGCAGTCGGGGGCAGCGTTTGCGCACCAAAAAGCCATGCTATACCGTTGCGTTGGTGCTGAAGGGTCAGGGCAAAGAAGTCCAGAGGCGGGTGCTGCTCAGCGGATGGGCTCATCGCTGGGGCTCCTATTCACGAGGGAGGGTTGCCGCGCCCATCCGTGTGTTGGGGTTCTTAGCGCTGGAGGAGTGGAAGAAGGGAAAGGTGGTGCGTCCGGTCCTGGAAATGTGGTAACCAGGGCGCTAGGAAAGTTACGGGGCGGGGGTAGGTGGGGGCCGCAGCGGCCCTTCCTCCAAAGCGTCGTCTCATACGTAGCACGGGCATGCAGCTTCAGTCGCACGCCAACACACGTACCTAACTGAAAGCGGTTGTGAGGGCACAAGGTGGGGCAGGCCTGCGCCCGTAGAGTACTATCCTAGTCCTCCGGTCCTAATCCTAATTCCCCGCTCATGGTGACCCCCCATGTCCCCCACTGGCCCACCTGGACGCGCAGGAGATTGAGGAGCTGGCCCGTGCCTACCTGAATAAGCCGGTGACGGTCAAGGTGAGGCCGGTCTTAGCTGTAACGATGGGCGCTGCGGGTTGGTGTCAGGTCCAGGGTATATGACGGTGGGCGGGTGATGAGAGGGCGCGGTGGGGCTAGGACTGCTGTCCCAGACGGTGAAGCCCGCGCGCCTGTGCCTCACCCACCTCCATGCAGTTCTTAGTTTCCACATCCGTGTGGAAGCTCTAGGCTTTATACAGTTGTACCCTGACCATCTTCCATCGTCACCACCAGCATCAGCTTTTTCCACCTCCACCCTCCGCTTGCCCCCTCCACTCCGCTCCTCCAGATCGGCGCCGTGTCCACTCCCACCGCCAATGTGGCCCAGCGGCTGGAGCACGCACCCGAGGGACAGAAGCTGGACATCCTGGTGGCGCTCATCTCTTCAGAGGTGGGATTCAGAGGTGGGAGGGAGGGATGGGTGTAGGGGACCCTGAAGGGAGGAGCATCGCTGGCAGGGGCAGTCCAGGCAAGATGTGGCCCCCAACCATGTTGTAATCTTCGGGGGAGGTGTAGGGAAGGTAGTAATACGACTGGGTTAGACTGGGTTGGGGAAGCCGGCAGCCATACGCGCCCCGCCCCGCCCTGCTTGGTGTGCATAGCGCATCAACCTGCAGGATACATCCCCGCCCCGAAATTCCCCTCTTGCGATGCACTCTCATGCCATTCCAGATGCGCAGCCCCCGGCGGCTTCATTTAGCAACCAAATGGCAGGGGCCAGAACTGCCCTTACCTGGCGCATATGCGGTTCTGCTGCGTCCCTTTCTTGCGCCGCGCTGTCGGGGGGGGGAAGCCGAGCCTGGTTGTTGGGCTCACCTATGCATCCATTTGCTGCATGTTATGGCCTAGGCTCTAGGTGCGGCTCAATTGCAGCAGCAGTTTAGTCAGTTTCCTGCATCAGACCCCAGTGCGCAAACCAAGCTAACAACGTGAAACATGCAGTACAACGGTCGCTCCCCTATTCGCCGTGTTCCGCTCTCTGCTGTGCGGGCTGCGCGCACGCGCATCCCCGCGTTCGTTTCCGCCGACAGGTTGCTGCCGAGGCCTCGGGTGGGCCCCCCATGCCGCTGACTATTGTGTTCGTTGAGCGCAAGAACCGGTGTGATGAGGTGGCCGCGGCGCTGCAGGAGGATGGCATCCCGGCCAATGCACTGCATGGAGGGCTGGGGCAGGTGCGTGGCGTGGCGGGTGGTGGGCCGCAACCCTATGCGCGTAACTATCACGTATGATGAGCACAAGACCCTGGAAGACCTTGTCCTGGAAAGTGGGTGCCTGGGGCAGGTTCACAACACTCGAGGTCACAGGCGAATCTCTCCCTGGGGCCACATGTAGACGTGTCCTGCTGTACACCGAGAAGTGCCCGTGGCGGTCCCATCATCCTTTTGTCTGTCACCCCAAACCTCTGTTATCCAAGGAGGAAACCATGCACGTGGATACATTTGCCTGCATCCAGTCCCTGACTGCCACCCAACTTCGCTTGGGCGTGTGTCCACCCGTCTGTACGTCCGTCCGTGTCTGCCTGCCAACCGCTTTTCTGTACAGTTTGAGCGCGAGGCCGCGCTTCGCGACTTTGCAAAGGGTCACATCAAGGTGCTGGTGGCGACCGATTTGGCCTCCCGTGGACTGGACGTCAAGGGCATTGGCCACGTGATTAACATGGATCTGCCGAAGACCTTTGAGGACTATGTGCACCGAATTGGTGAGACGGAGGCTGGGGCGGACGGGTGAGACACGTAGGGAGGTGCATTTAGGCGGTTGGGAGGGAGGCGGGGAGCGAGGTGATAGGAGTGAGGGGTTGCCAGCACGGCCGACGCAGGTATCCCTTGTAGCAGCTGTGTCCTTCAAGATTGCGTTTTGGATACTGTCACGCGCGCGAGCCTTGCCCGGGACGTTTGTCTTACTTCCCTGACCTTCTCCCTCCTCTCATATCCTCCCTGTACTTCCACTGTAGGCCGCACGGGGCGTGCGGGAACCAAGGGCCGAGCTACCTCATTGTGGAACGACCGAGACAGCTTCCTGGTGGCGCAGATTAAGCAGGTAGGGACATCCTAAGACGACAGCTAACCGATTTGTTTTCATTTTCCTCTCCGCCCCGCTTGTCGCGGTTTGAGACATGCCCAGTTCTGGTGTGTTTGAGGCGATTACATAACCCCCTTCCGCCTGTTGTTTCACAATCCCGCACCTTTCCCGCAAGGCCTTGGCCGAGCTGGAGAAGGGCAACGGCTTTGCCTTCGCCACTGGCAAGGAGGCTCGCAAGGAGGAGCGGCAACTGGCCCGGGAGTTCAAGTGGGTCGGGATTGAGGAGGGCAAGGAGGGCCGAGGGAGGGGTCCAAAGCGCAGGCGTCGGCGACTTGGGGGTTGGGAGATTAAGCAAATACATGTTACCAACGATGCCAGGTCTGGACGCCGCATCATCAAAACGCGGCGACGTCGCGATTCGTCCCCCTTTCACTCCCGCTCTGCTGCACCCGAATGCAGGTCCCAGCTTAAGATGACGAGCCAGGGTATGCTCCAAACTGGCGCCGGGGCAGTCAAGGTGGATGACAAGTACGCGCACATGGCCACGGCGGCTCCGGCGGCGGCCGGTTCGGGGGTGGCGGATGCGGCGTGGGACGATTAAGAGGTGAACCAGCGGCAGCGCCGGCGACGGCAATGCAGCCCTAGCAGGCAAGCGATGGATTTATCCTCGCGAGGGGTTCGGGCTTGCAAGGCAAAGCAAAAGGAAAAGGGAGGAACCCACTAACGAGTCGGCAACTGCGGCAGGGCAGCGGCAAGGGGCACAACGCCGAACTCGTCAGTGGACGACTCAGTGCTTTCTCGGAGCTGAACAAAGCGAGGACCAGGACCAGGCAGGGCGGACGCGATTGGGGAGGCGGTTGACGAGAGCGGGATAGTTTTTTTTTGGGGGACCGCGCACGGCGCCATGAGAGGTCTATCCAGGCGCATCTTTTGGCCCCACCTCCGGATGGCGCTCAAATGAAGATGGGCAACTCACAAGAGGTGTGTGTGTGCTGTTGCGCTAAGAAACTGACTATCGAGGGGACGACGCAATGCAGTTTCCCTTGGTTTTTTATGATGCAGCAGAGCGGACAGATAGAAGTAGGCACATGCGCGTGTGTGGGGAAGAATGCTGTGGGATGACGCCCGTCCCTGCTGTGGGGGATTGAGAGAGAGGGCTAGTTCGGATGAAGACATTGGACCAGGACGAGACTCGCCGCTGGGGACGCTGGGACATGGAGCGGATGGGGTTGACCCGCACGCTTTCGGGGCAGCGCGGGGGCAGCAGATGTTGTCCTGGCTAGGTCGGCAGGCTTGAAGCTGGGGCGCAGCATCGGGGTAGGGGGTTGGGGACGCAAGAAAAGGAATGAGCACCGGACATGCGTGTACGTGTTTATATGCAAACCTTTGTGTCGCTTGCAGCGGTCCGGCTCCGTGCCGTGGCAACTTGGGGACAGAGAGCTCCCTTCGCCCCCGGCGTTCCAGGCTCGTGTTTTTGTATTTTGCGATATGACCTTATAAACCTGACATGATTTCTTTTAGTAATCGCGGGCTTTATAATTGCGCGTGTTTACAATTTGCTGTTTTTTGGGGGAGTGTAACTCATGATGCTGTTTTGTCGGCATTGCTTAGATTGTGGCCATCGAACCGTTTTTTCAGTGGAAGGATATTGGCGGAGGGAACTTGTTTGATCGTCTATGTGACCACTCTGCGAGGCTCTAGCTGTGTCAAATGGATGATGGGCAGGTGGCATGGCGCAGGTTGGGCATGTTTTAGTCCTGTTCGGGAAGTCGCTGACAGCATTCCGGAGCCGAATAGGCCTCGACAGCAGCTCCTTGCCGGTGTGCGGGAGTACAGTCCCCGTATCTGGTGGGGACGCGCAGGGCCTTTCATTCGATGCTGACGATGGTGTCGGCAATCCTGTCCGATTGTGTTGGCTGAGGGAGTGGGACCAAGAAAGCAGAGGGCCCGAGAAAACGGCGTTGTTCCGGGGACGCGATGACTCGGTGGGATAGAGAAGGGTGAAGAGTGTTGCCGGACACAGCCTGATAAAAAAGATCAATTCGCTTCGATGCGAAGGAAATGAGCGGTGCAGACGTTCACGCATCCTTTTGCAGCAGCCGCACAAACAGGCACGTTACCAGATATGCTGCATCAGGACAAAGGGCCTCACCGGCCTACAGCGACTCACGTAGACGCAGCCGGGGGAATCGACCAGACATCGGGTGTCCGTACCTGTGTCAGGCAGCAGGCGTGGCCCTGCAACATCATGCCGTCCCTTTCACACGCCTGGCCTGGCCCGGCCCGCCTGTACTCCTTCCCATGCAACCCACAGCCTGTCACTCCACCGGGCCCATTGAATCCTCCTCGTCCTCCGGTCCGGCCCCTCTGCCCCGTACGATTTCATCCCGAAGACACCCATGACATCCACCAGCGGCCATGTGCCCAACCCCGGACCAGGGGACCGCCCATGGCACACATAGGTAACCGCCATCCGGCTCACGACAGTTCGAAACCCGCTCCCGAGGTGATGGAGTACAGCAGCTTGGCCTTGAGGGTGGAGGCTCGCCGGTAGTTGGGCAGCTTGAGCATGTTATAGCAGGTGGAAGCGGAGGGCAGGCGGTCCACGTCGCGGCCCCCCAGGGCGGCGAACAGTCCAGCCTCGCACTCCACCTGGAAGGGCGAGGACCGGGTGGGGTTGGGGGCAGAGCCGGGCCGGAGGCGGGGCACCGGCGTGTCAGCAATAGCAGCCATTTCCGTACGGGCGATGCGGAAGAGGCGAAGGCCGTACAGTGGTCGAGGCAGGGCGTTGTTGGATACAGTCCCAGAGCGCAAACTCCAGAGCAACATTGCACTCCCCGAGGATCTCTCCAAAAGGGGCGGGGCCATGCAGCCACCCCAGTTTAGGAGACGCACACAGGCAGGTGGATGGAAGGGGGGGACAGGAACCGGTTTTTCCCGGAACCGCCGTCCTCCCACCCTCATCCAATAAGCAGCACGGGGCCCCACGCCCCTCCCATTCCCCCTCTGATCCCCCCCCCTCCCATCATCCCCTCCCCCAACTCCCGCCAATCACTCCCACCTTGTGGACAGTCAGCGGCGGCTGCAAGTAGCGGAAGCCCCCCAGCGGGGGTCGGCTGCAGCTGGTCACAAAGCGCAGCAGCGCCGACTGCTGGTTGGGGGTGAGCTCCGCCACCACCCGCCAAAACAACTTGACGGTGGTGGAGTCCGGGCTGTAGCCGCCGCTGTAGCGGGTCCACCGCCGCATGTCCGCTACGTCTAGAGGGGCCGCGCCGCCGCCCCCCCCTGGACCATCCGCCGCCGCCCCGGATAGAAGCTGATTGAACTCCCGAGGGTTGAAGAGGCGCAGAGAGGCCTGAGGGGGTGGGGGGTGGCGGGTGGCGGGTAATCGAAGGGGACCCAAGAAGCAGCAAAAGGGTTCAACTGCTAACGATGAAAACACCAACTGCTGCGAAAGGCCAACGGATTTAGGCAACTGACCAAGAATATCCCCGAAAAGGGGGAGGAGGTATGGAGGGAGAGGAAGGGGCCCCTCAAGGACTAGAGGCTATATGGCTTGGCTGTCTTCAACCGCCCGACCTCCTGCCCCCGCAGTTTCACGAAATCTCATGGAACGTTTACACAGCTGCGTCATTGCTTTGAACTCCAGTCACAGTTTGCGTCTTTGGACGTTGGAAGTTGTGTTTCCCCTCTTGACTTTTGCTGGCCCCCACATGTTTCCCCATGGCTGCCCACCGACGGATATCCTAACTGACTGCGCCGCTGGGAGACAGCTGCCGTGTACTGCGCAGTACAGCCCTGTGATGTGATACGACATGGCAGGCCGCACGTACCTGCGGTATGAGGCTGAGCAGTCCCCTTGTGAATGCGGCGGTGGGTGCCCCCAACTTGCCGTTGAGATGCCAGTCCGCCAGTAGATGGCAGTACAACAGCCGGGACTCGTTGCTAGGGGGGGATGAGGGGAGGGGGACGAGGGGAAATCGGGGGTACTAAGTAAACTTCCGTTCCTCCATTTCCCTCCCCGCCCTCCTGCACCCCCTGACGGACCCCGCCCTGCAATGGACCCTTCCCCCCACTCCAGTCCTTATCTCCGGCCCTCCCTCCCCCAACCCCCCCAACCCCCTCCCCTCTCTCTCTCCCTCTTACGTCACGGGCATGTCCCCCCGGCCAGTCAGCAGCTCGTGATGAGCCGGACAGCCCAGGTAGTCCGTGTCCGCGCTGAAGGTCAAACCCAGGTCGGCCACGTCACCCTCGTAACGCTTCACCTGGCAGTGTGTAGAGAGAGGGAAACGGGGTGGGCCGGGTTCGGTGATTGGAAACACACCGGGGGGTGGTCCGCGTGCGTGCGGTGTGCTTGAGAGGTTGTCTGTTGGACCTCTGACCGTGCTTTACGCGGGTGCCCGTGCCCGTGTGTGTGCGTGTATGAAGGGAGGGGGAGGGTCAGGGAAGGAGATATATCGGTAACTGGGACGTGGTATTATGGTTGGGTGTGATGCAGGATAGGCGGATGGGAGGGACGAGAGGTGTTGGTAGGGGTGTTGGGGGAACGGGCTGGAAAAGCGCTCCTCATTCCTACCCCCCCCTCCCTTACCAGCCGCTGCCCACCCAACACGGGGGCCCCGCTAACCCCTCCTCCTCACTTGCCCGCCAAGGTACGACCTGAAGAGCGCGGGGAGGAGCTCACTGCCCCCTCTACCCCCCGTCCCCACCCGGGCCCCACCATGAGCAGGTTCTTGTGCAGCTCCGGGTCCAGGGAGGCCAAGTCGTCAAACAGGGGCTGACGACCCTAAGAGGGCGGGGGAGGGAGGGAGAGGGGGGAGAGGAGGGGGAAGAGGGGGGAGAGGCGAGGGGAGAGAGGGGGGGAGGTAGCGGGGAGAGGGGGGGAGAGGAGTAAGCGGGGGGACATACCGGAGGTCTGACGGCAGTTAACAACTGGTGGTTAGGTGGTTAGGTGGGGGGGAGGGGGCGAGGGGGGAAGGGCCGTTAGACACATCAACACCACCATGAAAGTTCAACACACTGAGAGCCCCACACGCGATGCACTCCTCGGGGCCTCCAACATCTTCCCAACATCTGCATGCCCGTACATACACCCCCACCACCACGAACACTACCACGACTACCACCCACCTGCAACCTGGAGATGAAGAAGTGAGCCAGAGGCACCGGCAACAGAATGCCCTCATACAGCGCCTTGCCAAACATAAGGCCTGGAAAGACAGGGAACGGGAGCATTACGGGAGCAACGGGATTCAAATTTCCGAGACCGGAGGTCCACGTGAAAACCCACTCAGCAGCTCGCAGTAGCTGCAGCAGTAGTAGTAGCAGCAGTAGTAGGTAGCAGCAGCAGCAGCAGCAGCGGCAGTTCGGAACCTGCTGCTGTCCCCGAACATCACCAACACTTGTGTCTTCGGTCGCCGCCGTCCCACTCTCCCCCACCCACCCATGAACTCAAGCAGCGCCAGGCCGCCATCGAGTCTCTCAGCCGCCGGGTTCGGGTAGATGAGGCCGTCGGGTGTCGAGGTAAACAAACCGTAGTTTGCGTCCAGGCCTTGGGGGAGTTGTGGGGGAAAAGAATGGAGTGATCATTGCAATTTGGGATGTTTGCCGGGCCAGATCCAAACCAGTGTAGTCTTGTACGGTGTCGTACCTGCAGATACCACCCTCTCCAGAAGCTCCTTCTGGAGGCCCCCGAAGTCCAGTCCCGCCTCACTCCACGAGGCAAAGGGGGGAGCGGTGGGGAGGAGGGGGGGGAGGGGGGATTTATATTCAAATGAAACAAAAAACACAATTGCCGACACGCCCAAAACACCAACCACCATAGTCCAGACACGGGGTTTAGGGGCGCCGAACATTGCCGCTGCGCGAAAAGATGCGGAAAGGTGTGCAGACGCGGCAGCGGCGGCGGGTGGACGCACTTGGGAGTGGTTTGGATTTGGGTCCTGCACTACGGGGCAGGGTCTTAAAGGGAAGGCGAGGGAGCATGCGGGGGGACCATACACTGGCCTGACGCCTATATAGGATCGACGTAACCTGCCGTACAGTCCAACAGGTGTCGTACATTTACCACTTCTGGTCTGGTGTGACACCACGGCAATTAGCAGCTTAAGGGTTTAATTGGTGGACCTTGATTCGCACCACGCTGGATTGGTGGGGCGATTGCTGAGCCGTCTGTATCTCTGGCGGATGTTCGGGTGACTGGATGAGGAAGGATTCAGATGGCAGGATTCAAAACCGCCTTGGACTTTCAGTTCGTATGGTGTAGCACATTGTGATGAAGGTGTATAGTGCTCTATGGTGTTCGATCATAGACCAGAATTCAAATGTATGCGAATGGGCCAGAGCCACACACTCTGTAACACCATCACTGCACTTCTGCTGTCCCGCCCCAGCCCCCGGCCCCCCCGG